ACTTAAATAAGAAATGTGAGTTTAAAAAAAAAAGGGGCTGGCTGATGCTGGCTGTATCCAGGTAACAGTTACGCAGTGTCTCCTCTCAGATGACATTAAACTGTCTGCAGAAAGTTCACACAGTACTTCAGAATTTGGTCTCGTTCTCACCGGCTGCTGTGTCAGTAAATAGTGTGTGTGTCGCTGCTTCTACTAATTAAACATGTTAACAGTTTGTAACTAGTTTGTAAGAAGTGGTACGAGCTTTGAGGGGTTTAGGGCTGAAACTACCAATTATCTTGTTACCAAATGTTCTGCCAATTATTTTTGTGATTAAATCTGCAGTGCAGAGCTTCTGACGCCCACTTCTGGCAGTCAGCATAATTACACAAACATTTCACCATCAGTCGTTCTATTTTTCGAACTGTTGTCCTTCCTCTGAACATTGATTTTAGTTTGTACCTGGAGTATCACAGCCTGTTTCTTGGATTCTTCCTAGATTTTCTTACCTGCTGTAGACTTCTCCGTGATGATTGTTCCTCCCTTCTTCAGCTCTGACCAACCAGTTGTTACTGGACAATGTGAAAGACTGGTTTATTCCTTAGTGTATTCCAGGCGTAAATGTTTGACGTACGAGGGGTGATCAAAGCATTTGAGACAAAGCCAATAAAAATCTCAAAAAACATGTCTCCTTGTGCAGCAGTACTCTGCTCCCAGTGCTCCTGCCACACTTGTAACGCTCCCTGGAAGTCCCGTTATGCAAACATGTCAGGCACCATCTCCTTATCTGTGGTAAAACGGTGACTCGTCAACTTTAATTGAATTTTTGGGTCAGAGGAAGAAGTTAAAGGATGAAATATGGCAGGTAGGGTGGCAAAGAGCAATGAATGTGTTGTTGTGGCTTAAAAAAACCTGTGCGTGATCCAGTTCAGGTCATTTACGCTAAATCTTCTTTTTTAGACACCTCAGGACATTACAGGAGTTTTGCCTCGATAGTGTGCCAAGAAGAGTATCGGATATCTCTGAATTTTCAGACACCATTAACAAAGCCATCTTATGCCATTTTTGAATGACAATAAGTATGTACTTCCACTTCGTAGAGGACGTGAGTTGAGCAGGTGGTCCTTTAAACACTGCATAAAGAATGTGGACATATGCAACCCTCAACACCTCCGGATGTGGTCTGAGCGGTCGGATCTCAAGGCGTCTTGGGTGCATTTACATCTGTATTTAGAACTGTCCACTTGTGATCGGATGCCAGGGTTGAATGGAGGCATTAAGTCTCAGAATTTGCTCTAATTTTGCCAAAAAAAAACCTGTATTATGGAATTGAATAAATTTAGGTTTATGGTCATAGTTAAGAATCTGTAGTTACCAAATTGGTGCGCCGTCAGTATTAGTTCATGCTGTACCGTAAACCTCACCTATGGTCATGACCAACTGAATCAGTTTGCGGATACAAGTGGCCAAAATGAGTTTCCTTAGTGGGATGACGCGACTCAATCTTACAGATCTTGCTAGCCTTACTTTGGAGGTTTTCCAGGCAACTTGTAGGAGACCCCAGGGTAGACCTAGAAGTTGCTACAGGGATTACGTAGCTCATCCAGCCTGGGTACAGATTCCCTATGAGGAACTGCTTGGGAACACAATGGCTGGAATGCCCTCCTTAGAAAGACAATGGATGAATAAATGGCTATTTACTAAATGTTTTGTATTTTTACTTGATCAATTTCTTGTTTGAGTCAATTTCCGAATTGTTTAAACACCTTTTTCATTGACCAGCTGTTCCCTCGTGGACTTCGAATGGTTAAAGACCTGGATAATGAGATCCATTCAGGTTCGTGTGGTCAATGCGAAGCTGGATTCAGGTGACAGTTTCAGTTTAACATGTTCATTAGTGGGCTGTGGAGGTGCTGACACATTTTGCCACCTTCGGACAGAACCAGGATCGCTGTTTCTCGCCAACTTCCTTCCGGCTATGAGCTTAATATTTAATGGACAGCAGAGTGTTATCAATCCCATTTTATTACTAAGAGAGAGTGCAAATAAGCATATTTCCCCCCGAAAACGTTCCTCTGAAAAGTAGTGACTCAAGTAAAATAAGGGTTCAGCTCCTCCTCTCCCAGGTGCTACATCAGAGCGGAGCGATTTGGATACAGGCACACATCCGCAGACACGCGAGAATTTAATGAGTTGGCTCGCTCCACAAAGAGAATCCACGACGTTTCATTTAGACCCCCTTTTTTTTTTCCTCCTTCTTATAAGACTTTACTGTACAGAGAAACGGTCCCTCAAGCTATTTCTGTTACGGATACGATTATGAGGCGTTGCATTTGGGCAGAAAGCGCTAACGTGTCAATAACGCCGATCGACGGCCTCGCGGGGATGACGAGCGGATTAATTGAAAGCTGTTGAGGAGTTCACCGAGAGACCCTCTTGTCGAGCCGATACCAGGTGTGATTCCTGCTCGGCGTGATTTCGAGTCGAATTGCATCACTGCCCTTTGCTTGCACCTCGCAGTGACTCGCCGTAATGAGACAGAGGCCTTCGGATCGAGTCAAACTTCTTCTGATCACGGAGCCCAAGCGCCGTTTCAAACAAGCATCCCTTTGTTCCCCCACATGTTTGACATCCCCCCACCTCCCGCCCCCACGTCTCATTTCTGTCAGTATTTTTCCTGCTCGTGCGATGATTGCAGGTGTTTTTGTTTCAAGGGCCTCGCTGCCGGTATTCAGGTCTTGGTGTCTTGACAGTTGATGCTGTTTGTTTCTCTATTCATAGCACTTTGGCTGCTTTGACAGTCGACAACGCGGCGCGGCGCCTTGTTTATCGTGGTCTTTCCGATCCCCCTTATTCTCTCCCCCCCCCACTCTATTCTTCTTATTCTAATTCACCTCATTTCCTTGTCCATTCTCTTTCTTTAGCCTCCCTGTCCTCTGCCTTCCCTCCTCATAATCTCCTCCCTCCTCCCTTTTTTCTTTGGCCAAGGTCCACGTTATAAATCAGAGCAAAATGAGACTCTGTCGCTGCCTTGCAGTGGTGAAAAGTTACCACAAAGTACAATTATTCAAGTACAGTTTGACGGTACTTGTTCTGGATTCTTTCCATTCTATGTTAGATTATACAGGGACACTGGAGCGAAATAGTTCTCCCTCCATTGTACGCATGTGACAATTCTGCAGTAGTGTGCATGTAAAGATTTGTAATACAAAGCATACAATATGTTTATATAATGTGATTTTTACCCAGGGTCAGCAATAACACAAGTATTTTACATTGCAAACAAGGCTTTACAAATGGTTAACGCCTGGTAATTCTGGTATTTAATAGATTAGTTCTAAGCTACCGTGAGTTCCTTTTTGTTGCAAGGTTGTGAGCGGAAACCCAATGCTGCAAATCAATGATTACTGATTTATAATATGTAAGCGCACCGTTCTGGATAATGATTATTTTTGAACCTCAAAGCTGCATTGATTAATATTCATATTTACAGCCGAGTTGATGGATGCAACTCTAGTTTAACGCTAAATTAGCCCGCATGAGAGATTTGGAAGCTTTTTTTATTTCTTTTTTTTTGTGAGTTTTTTTTTCTGCTAACAACTTCACAGTTTTGGCTCTCTCCTCTGTCTCATTTTCAGCTGCAGCGAGCAGTATAAACTTCACATCATGCATCAAACGGCAGACAAATACAGTTAGCAACAAGTTGGGGAACATAGTGGAGCGTTTGCTCGCTAAAGAGACAAATATCTCCCTCAGGAGTAGGTGGAAACAAAAACGAAAGAGAGTCAATAAAACTGTGGAACTGTTAGGGACTCGGTTGCAACTAACGGTCATTTTCACACACAAAAAAAGGCCTGAACTAGGTTGAACTGCAGGCTGTGTTTAACTAATTAAATCTCTACAGTTTAAATACTGTAGAGTCACCTTTTGTTTCTCCTAATACTGGTGACAAAGTTGGAAAATTGGATTTTGTGCTACATGATATAAAGAGGAGCAGTTGTCAAGAAGTTGTTGAGAGATACATTCAGCATGGTGAAACATCTGTCTGGTGTTGATTTGCATAGTAGTGTGAAAAGTTAATCACTAAGTAAAATAGCTCTAATAGTTTTTTTTGTTGTTGTTGTTTGGACTCATGAAATTCGACTGGGATATTCATTTTATTCTGCTTTTACTTGATGTATGCATACATTTATTTATTCTATCTACTGTATTGTCCCTGTTTGTGTCTGCTTGTGTTGGCTGCAGCATGGGTGAAATAGCCCAAGACTAATTTCCCACACCTCGGAAAATAAAGTTAATCTTAAATCTTGAATATTTATAGAGGTTCTAAGAAAGAGAGTATCAAAATATCTATAGTGTGTAGAACTGCTATTTTTTACGGTATTGGTACCACTTGTGAATATTTGGAAAAACAATTGGAGGCAACAAGAGCAAAATAAGGTCCTACTTGAGCAAAATATGACAAATGCAGCTGAACATCTAGCATGGTGAAACGTTATCTTAAGGTTGATGTGCAGACTGGTGTAAAAAAAACAGTTTGTAAAAACTTACGTAGTAAAATATCTTCAGTATGCCGTCACTTTTTCTAGCATTGGTATCATCTGGGAGCACACACATTGTTGCACATGCTCATTCCAAGTTTTTTTTTTTTTAGTTTTTGTTTAAAAAAATAAATAAATAAATAACCAAAAAAAATATATATATGGCATTATAACTGTGTCATACTGCACAGAAGACAGACCTGAATTCCTGCTACTTCTATTCATGGTTGTTCTGTTTCCATAGAGGTGCTGGACTTTATATTGCAGTGAAAAATGAGTCTAAAGTGAGTACAAACACCCAGCTACTGCCTGGAGTTCAGTGGGTTTAAAACACTCCACCGTGTTTTGATAAGTTCCGCTCGCTAACCGGAGATGAAACACGTTGCCAACATGACGGGCAGCGGATTGGAGAATCGACGGTCTTGTGTTTACCTGTCGCTGACCTTCACACTCCTCTCCTTCTTCTTCCCTTTTTCTTAGCAACTGCTGAGGGAGATGCAGCAGATGGCCAGCCGGCCTTTCGCCACCATCAACGTCGCCTTGGAGACGGACGAAGAGCCGCCTGACCTGATAGGAGGAAACGTCAAGGTGAGCGCAACCTTTTCTTAAAGCAATCACCGCCGGGCCCTGGGGACCTACCTTTAGTCTGGGCTGACAGCGCCACAAGCTGGGAAGCTCCATCCATCACTGCCAGCGTCGCTCATCTCCCCTCAAGTGGGAGCTCGGTCTCAGCTGCAGTTTGATTACACTTACATATTCTTCTCGTCATCTGCTTTGCGTCATTTTTGAGTGAAGTCTTCAAGGTGGTTTTTCTGCAAACAACGGAGGGCGGACCGAGCTCACTTTAGTAAGAAGAGTGGTGCTGGTCCACTTCACCTAATGAGGGTCAATACAGTGAAGGCCGGTTGATGACGACGAGTAACCCAGCACATTATACCAGCTATATCCAGTTATTGCAGGTAGCCTGTGAATTCTAATGGGAGCGAATTCAGTTAACCCCGGAGTCAAATACATGCAGATGAGAATAAGGTAATGTAGACTATACTTAGAAATCAGATAAGAGTTTTGTTCCAACATCTTTATTTGTACAAGTAAATAAACACCTACTCGCAAGAAATGTTTGCTGGCATGAAAATAGAGACCATTAGGGGATAATAATCGAGTCATCTCGCTGAGCAGCCTTGTTTTGGTGCATCGAACCATCTGTGTTTTTGAAAGACGAGGAGAGAAATTGAAGGTAGCACCTTCTGTCAATATGATTATACAGCTTGTTGGAGCAAAGTCATTCATATAGGAGAGCGATGTACACGCTGGAAGACGGAGTCGATGGTAAGACGGGGCTTAGGGTTTCTTAAAACGTGGCTCGAGATGGAAAACATGCAACTGTTGGGGCCTTGTTTTGTTAGACTGGATCGCAGAGTCGCGTTCAAACGAATGTAGTCAGGCGGGGATTTTAATTTAATTCCCCAAAACTAAGCGTGAGTTAGCGGTTTATGCACGTTCAAGACCAGAAAGAAAGAAATTAAAGGTGTGTTTAAACTGGTTTCGGATGGAGTTTCATGTTAAATATTTGGAAATAATTACGTCGACTACTGTTGTTGTAGGTTCTTGGTGATAACAGACGTCTTCGTGTTTCTCGACTTACAGAAATGCCACAAAACCCAAAAGCACATATGTTGCCACCAAGACACTGAGAAATCTGTGAAACCTCCCACTATATTGGGATGAATGGAGCTTTTTCTGGTGCATGGGAAAAAAAATCCAAATTACCTCCGAATTACACAAGCAATGTGAACAACTTTATGCGGAAAACCTTCCAAATTGGCCACTTAATGTTATATTCATGTATTTAAAGACCATTTCTGAGTTTGTTTTACCTTTTGAACTTGTCCATATGGTGTTTTTTTTATGCTAGAAGTAAGAATGTGAGTAAAATCAGCAATTAACACCACGATAGAGCATTTCCATTTTGAAACTAATACACCAAGAAACATTGCTGATTCAATCTGCGTAGCAAACCTGACTGCATTACAACTTGTGTAGCCTAAAGTAGTTTAACAGTGTTTGAGCAGAGTTTAAGGTGAGTGTGCTCGAACTTCATGGATGTGCACAACAGTGTAGACGTACATTAAGTTCAGAAAGAATTAGTCATGTAAAAGGCAACGAGTTAACATGTTGCTCTGATGAGTTTTTAGGGATTCGAACAATGATTAGCGAGAGACTTTAATTATGTCGGCAAGCAGAAAAGAGTCTTAACGGTGTCAAATCTGCCAGTGAAGAAGCAAGTGGAAGGAACGTGGCGCCTTTCGTGTGAACAGAAAACACCTGCTGTCTCCCGACAACAGAATTAATTCAGTCAGAAGAACTAAGTCTGGAGGGACAATTACCATGATTAAAATAGAAACAGATGAAGCGTGAGTCCCTTTCTACGCTTTCCTAGAACATCGGGAGATCAAAGCCGGGGTGGGCGGTGTTTATTCGGCTTCACAATTCCAAACTAACCCTTCAGTGTATTTGTAATTCAAGTGGTCTGAGAGGAAAGTGAACTCCTGAACCTCCACTTGGCTTCGTTTTAGGGTTTCAGAAGATCTCAACTGTGGCAGAAGGCTTTAGCCAGTCCAAGTCCAGGTCTTTTTAGATCAGGTGAAATGGAAGTAAAGATCAACAAAGTCCACTTTAGGCAGCAGGACATGGTGCTTTAATAGGTTAAACAGAAGACTTTTGAATCCCTGGTGAAGCCGCGAGTGAATGTTGATTTTTGGTTTTGACCGGCTGCTGCAGCTTCAACCCTTAAACCCCAACGGACGCACTCCGAATTCACATCTCTGCTGAATCTCTCCTGAATTATATATCGCGGTAAGATATAGCACACATCAAATGAAACCGCACGACTCGACCTTTCTAACAATGCTAGTCGCTTGTCTGTGCGACAATGTGTCGGCGAGAAAGATAATTTTGGATTTACATCAAATTTATTCATAGTCACAACCTGAGACAACCCAGCAACCTCTATGCAATGCAAATACTACATTAATATTAAGGTATGTCTACAGTGATATGCTAATATATAGCAAGAAACCAGAACCAGAGCTTCACTAATGTGCATATTTGTACATACAGAGACAGTAGCAACATTCCTGTAATTAGTACTTGGGTATATCTTGGTTTGTTTTTATTTTTTCATTTCCTGAATGTTTGGCGCTGTCTTTGCTGCTGAAACCTTGCAAATTTCCCCACTGTGGGATTAATAAAGGCTTATCTCATCCTAACTTACGAAGACGGATCAAACTTCTGCAACGCTGTGTTTTTGCGAATTTCCTCACTCATTTTTCACACTTGTGATTCTCGACTGAATAAGTTCCAGAGGCAGCGATGTTTCATGATACTGGTCTACCACATATCAAAAGAATCTACTCGTTCCGATGATACCTCAAACGTCAAAGAGTAGTCTGGATTTCAAGATTATTTCTGCATTGTCTGCAGCATAGCTTTGACATCCAACTTGGTATAAATCACAAGCAGAAAACACTGGATTTGCTTTTCTTGGATGCAAAATTTGTGGTTAAAAGACGAGTTCAGGTGGCCTGTTTGTAAGTAGGTGGTGGTGAATCTAAACTCTGTTGGGTCCAACGCAAAGTGGTCCATTTGGGCAAACATTGGCCTGGTTCATTACCTATGCAAAAAAAATTCCCAATTTCTACATCATGTAGTATCCAGCCATCATGGTTTGGATCAGTCTCCACTCCACAATTACAAAAAACAGTCAGTACTGCCAACACTTTATTGTGAAATACATGTACAACCATAACAATTATACTGTAGGTGTTATTCACTGATATAAAGGTCAGTGTGGTAAATATGCAAGTATTATCATATTTAATGAAGGAAAATCCAAAAGATCTCAACTGTTGTGAAAAAAACAAGACGCAACATGAATGGCTAGTTGTTATTATGACCAAGATAACAGCTTAAAAGTAAAAGATTATCCCATAAAAAAACCAATACCCTGAATACATGGTTAAACATTAACAAGAGCTCCTAACAGTACATTTCCACCACAAATGTATTAGTTCCAAGAAATCTGCTCTTCGGTTCAATGTGGAGGCAGATGCAAATATCTCAAACCCGGGCAAGTCCAATTAACATTAAAGTGGTAGTTTTTTTGGATAAATTGACCATTTCTGCAGAGTTCCCAAGGCACCTGAACCAATTACTCATAATTTGCCCATTTCTTTGGAGCCGTTGGGATAAGCTGACCTCACTAACTTATCGGCCTAATCTTTGAGCAGATTCAGTTGCAAAAATATGGTAGTAGGTTTTAATAATAATGATAAACTCATTTGTGCAGCACCTTTCACACTCTGGTGTGTTGGAGCTGTAGGTGAAGTGAAGTAGAGTTTCGAACGGATCTCATTTACTTTTATGGGTTCCATCAACGTGAAATTAAACTTTGTCTCTTTAAACTGATGTTCTTATTCCGGTGAAAGTGTAAAAATTTGGATTATATCTTTGGCTCTTTAGTGTTTTTTTACTGCAACCCAACTGCCATTATGTTCCAGTTGGATTACAAAGTACAGAAAAGTAACTTATGATGGGCCAAATGGTGATATCATGTTTTACTTAATATTTACATTGGAAAAAGTGAACTCTACAACTTGACTTTTCCTAAAATTAGGCTCCAACAATGCTTATCTGAGAAGAATCAAAGGATTGAACTTGAACTAGTGGCATAAATATTACTTGTTAAACTTAAACATCACTGTTTTTAACTGTTTTCTTTCACTTTGTCCATTTAAATTGGTATTTTAATTTCGGCAAAAGTGCGAAAATTAAGTTTACATCCTTTTATACCTCAACTGCCATTATCTTCCAGTTGGATTACAAAATGCAGAAAAGTAAAGAATGATGGACCAAATGGCCAAATTATGTTCTTACTCAATGTTTTCATTGGAAAAATAAGAACGTTCAACTTGACTTTCCCTAAAACTAAGTTGCAGCAATGCTTATTTGACAGGAATCAGCTGATTTAGGTGCAACCAGCTTGTAACAGTGTAATATTACATTTTAGCTTAATTTGGATCGACTTAATTCAGTATTCAGTCCGTTTAATTCTCTTTTCTCAGTATGCAAGCGCTGCAGCTCCAGACTTACACGAGCACGAACTCGTCGAACGCAGACGATCAGCCCACAACGGGGGTGTCGAACGTACAGAAATGGGCATATTTTAAAGCCGGAGACGGAAGCACTGAACGCTGCATTTAAACATAAAGGTCAAGCAGAGTTTGGGGGGTGGCGGCTGAGAAGACTTCATTACCGAGCAGAAGAGTTGAAGCAGAGTTGGAGCAGATTTAAATGCAGATACCGGCGGCAGGAAACATTTAAAAAGTGAGAAAAGCGTGCAGAGTTGTAGAAACTGCGAGAGCCGGCGTACCTGCGACGGCGCGCCCGGTGATGGATGAGCCCTGAATGCAGATGCGGTGCAGGACGGCGGGGCCGTTCGGGGGCCCCTCGGCTCTGACAGGGTCCATGCATCTCCAGGGGGACTGGGCTCTGCAGCGCAAGGTTACCAAAGGCTGCCGGGCCCCTGA